GGTGGGGGGGGGGGGTAGTGGCAGGAACCCTGTCCTTTAGATAACATTTTGGCTAGATTTCTAGTTCAGTAACTAAAATGCCAACCTTCCCCGCTCCCTCCACAGCCCCGCACCCAACCAGCTGGGGATTTTGGTCCATTGTGAAAGGTTTCTCCCAGATATCCATGCCCCTCGCATCTGAGCAGAGGGCTGGATTCCTCAAGGGGACATCCGATTTTGTGTCGGGTTTTTAGCCTTTCCATCTGTTCGCATATATTTCTAGTACACTTATATTCAAGGTATCCATATTTTCTCTACTAGATTGTGTCATAATTTATGTCCAAACAAAACTATAGATGTTCCTGCATTACAGCCTACCATGCAAGTAGGATTCATTTGGTGGCTTCAAGCAATGTTTCTATTTTTATAAACACTTCTTTATCATAAGAACAGGCAGCATGCCCATTTCCTTTCCCATTGTGCTTATTGCATGCACGCTAAGGGTAACTTTGACCTGCAAAACTATTATTCAGCTTTTTAAACCACTCTAGACTTGCTTTTAAATAAGGGCAGCAAGTTTAAAAATAATGCTGTTTGTTTATAAGCTGTCATGCTGATAATTTCTCTTTTATGCAGATTACATAATAAAAATTTGACACTTTTGGTGCCACTGGCCTCTAAAAAATTAGACATCAGGAACTCCTGTGCTACAGTAGTTTTTTGTCACTTCAAAGATTTACAGGCACTGAAAAGATGAAGTAAAATTCTAGGTAAAGGCTGAGACAGTCTCTGTCCAACAAAAATGACTGTGCTTCTCTGTGTTTATATACCTGTGCCCTGTTCTTGGTTACTGTGTAGGCACTACCATAATAGAAATGATTAAAAGTAATGATCTGAATTTGTTTGCCTGTCTTGGAAGAAAGGCAACATTACCACCGCAGTGATCTTAACTGAGAATTGCACAAGACTTGGTATTTTTTTTGTAAGGTCCAGCTGACAAAATCCTTTAACAAGATGAGTATGTGATGTTTCACTTAAAAAAGTATACACTTTTTAAAACACAAATTTACACTTCGTAAAATGAAAGTATAATCATTTTGTGTGCACCTTCACAACTGAGAAACTCTACAACAAATTAAAGAATAATTCTGAGATTCTTTTTTAAGTCTAAGTTTTTGGGGCCCGACTCATTAATCATGAACCGTTAAGGTTTGTAATAGTGGAAGCAGAACTCTAAGAATGATTTGAATGAGGAATGGCTGGGGAAGTGAAGCAGTGCTGCTGAGAGCTTATTCCAAGATAAGGATGCAGCATGGGAAAAGATACTTAATGCAGGAGGGGAACAGAAAACCAATGCAGCACTGAGATTGACTTTGATGGCCAAGAGAAGGGAAATGTGAGGGAAGAGTGATACAAGGCTTCGAAAATGAAGACAGGAAGTTCTATTATTCTCCGTGAGAATCAGTTCTGCTCATATTTATTATTCACCTCATAGGGTCCTGAAGGTTAGGCAAACTTCATCAGTGTAACAATTATTACCTCCATCAATCACACAGTTCACTTTGTTTCACCTGCAAGTCTCTTCAGTGCCAAAAACCCAGTTTTCATTAGTAAAAGTGCACTGACATCTCAGTTGACTATCGGATCAGCACCAATAAAAGGAGAAATGATGTTATGGGTTATCAGCTTTTTTTTTTGGTCATTGTACCTGATAATTACAGCTTCGTGCCTGGTGCACCCTGGTGAGCATAGTCTGGTCCCCATGCCCCACTGCTGGCCCAAATCCATGGCAGACTACAGGTCCCAGCGAGCAGTGGGAGGGGGCGCCAGGGAATGGTCACAGGGTGCTGTGCTCAGCAACAAAGGGACTGTTACTACCTCCTGGTGTTGCTGCCGTCATGGCAGCACCACGCGTGCAGCCGGGGCCTGAGCACCAGGGCTGCTGCAGAGATGTTGGGCTGCATGCAGGCAGGGTACAGTGCTGCAAAAGGGACATTCTGATTCACTGGGTGCAAAAGCAGCTTCTCCCCAGCAGCTGCAGGAGCTTGGCTGTGTGGGGCCTGCCAGTACTGAGGGAGCAGCTTGCTCCGAGGTTCCAAACACACCCAGCACAGCTGTCTGCACAGGAGTCCACCCCGCCTGCCTGGGACAGCAGCACAGGCTGCGTGGGGAACACAGCTGCAGGTAGGAGCCGTGGGCAAGGGGGCAATGTGTGTGGGAATGAAGTAGTCACTGCCTTCCTCATTGAGGGCCACAGCAGGCAGAAGGCATGTGTGTACGTTTATAAATGCAAAACAAACAAAAAAGTTTATTTATGTCAGTAGTTTAAAATGCCTTGCACTATTACTAAACATCAGTTATTGGATTGATATCGGCCAATATGGTTGATTAATCATCGGCTATCAGTACCGGCCAAAAAAAATATTTATCAGTGCATCCCTACTCATAAGTGAGATACTTACGGACTATGTTTCATCTTTATAGCAGCTCTACATGTTGCAAAAGATCCAATAAAATTTTGCACACAAAGGAATCCTAGAATAAACCTAGAAAGTGTCTATATTGTTCACTGATACTGTTTCTTCTGTATGCTCTCTAACACAATGCACTATCTTATTTACTTTTCCCTACTGATGGTTGCTCTGAATCAGGTTGATGTTTCAATATTTCCTCTTAATATTGTAATTCTCAGATATTTTTCCTGACTAGTTGGCTGATGATTATATTATTTTCCCCAGAAACAGTTCACCAATGGCCTTCTGAATTGCCTTCCCTCTGGTCTTCCTTCCTCCTGCTCCCTAGTCCATTATATAGTGTATTTCCAGCAGAGCTTAAACTATCTGGAAGCTTTGCAATGAACTGCTTTACTGGAGGCAGCAGAAACATGTAATCAAAGCTCACCCATAACCGGGGAGTTGACAGAATGAACTATTTCAGGGACACCATGAAAATAACTTGCTTTGTCTCAGTGCATGTGTCATTCTGAATTACCAGCAATAGGTGAGATGTGCATGCTGTTATAGTTGGTGATACAGCAAAAAGGAATCAAGATGCTTACAAAAAAAATAGCTTCTGAAGCTAATTGTTGCCATGCATTTTTCAAATGGTTCTTGAACAGTCCCCATACCATGCAAAAATACTCAGAAAAACAATTTATACATTAAGAAAATGTTTAAGATATTCTACTTCAAAATAATCAGTGCTTTGTTTCTGTGATCTCCTACAAGAATTATACTCTTGTAAACATCTACTCAGCCTGACATTAATGTGTCTCGCTGGCATACGACGGTTCCTGAATCAACCACAGCTGAAGAAACAGCTTGGGTACAGCAGACTAATTTGCTCTCTAAGAAATGGCTAAAACTTTATTTAACGTATTAAAGTCTTTTTAGTGCTTTTTTCACCCTGTATAAAGCATATCACATCCTATCAGTCTATATAAGCTCTTAGACAAAGTAATATATTAGAATTTTTTTCAGCATAAATTTGGGATGGCTATATTACTAACAGTTGGCAAAATTATAATGGTATTATGAAGATTATCCCAAATAAGTACTGATAAAACCTTTAGACCACATTATTAGGTATTCCATTCAATGATAGATATAGATC